AGTAGCTGGTATTTGACCCTGAAACAAGTCCCACAGACCGGCAAACCGTCACCCTAAAACTCCCCGATTGGTCCTGTGGTGGAAAGTTTTTTTGGCGTGATGATGTCACAGCTGTGTCAAAGCAAGCATAAACAAGTGATGCACTTTTTAAAAAAGTATCTATTACAGTTTTTCTTTTTGCTGCTGTTGTTGGAAATAAATGTTTTTCTGGTAACTTTCAGCTGTTGGTCAGCTGACGTGGTGGCACATAACCTGAAGGACTTTAATGGTCAGGATGGTGGTTTTGAAAAAGGGTAATATCTCGTGCTGGCAGCACAGGGGTTTGTCTCACTCCAGTGCAGCTCTGTTTGTGCTGCAATGTTCAGGACGAACCTTTCCTCGCTAGAATTTTAATTAGAGACTCACTTTTGTTTGAAGCCAGTCGGTGTTAAACAGCAAAATCAGGATTTCCCTGTGTGTTTATTCCAGATCCAGGAATCCAACAGGCATGCACTTTTTTTCCTGCAGTGCAGACATCTGATAAAGGAAAAAAACATCCACTTTAAATGAGCATCAAAGAAGTGTCGTCAAACGTAGAGATCGATCTGTTGAAATGTTCCCTTGTCTGCTCAGTCCAGCTGTTGTACCAATGCCTGACATGATTGTAAAACCTTTTTGTAGTTTATCGCAGTGCCCTTTAGTGAATAGTGTTGAAACGATATCGTGGGGATTCTCTTGTGTGTCACATTTTTTTAATGGTACTTCAAAACAAGTGAGCACTGTTGCGATGTGTTTACTGTTACTGGCTTCGCTTTCCCACTGCCACTAAAAGACTCAGCCAAAGCTGCATTTGAGGGAATGGGAGACTCTGTAGTGTGTGTGTGTGTGTGTGTGTGTGTGTGTGTGTGTGTGTGTTCGTTCCACTCGTGAGTTACAGCAGTGACACAGTAAACAAGCACAATTCATGTAAAACTTATGTTTATATTTGTGGAGCGTTCACTGATATGATTAACATTTTATCTCTTCAGTGGGAACAAAATACCTTTTTATTTGTTTGTTTGTGGGTAAATATGGTCGAGCTTTGCTGCCGCCTTTTGCAACCCTGAATATTTACTTTCCAGCAGAACTGTTTGTTGAATAACTTTGATGATAGAAGGTGTGAAAGGATCATTAGTCTGAATAAAGTGAAACAAGCACAGAGGTCTGAACTTCAGTGTTAGTTGAAGTTTAGGGAAGCCTGTTTTAAATATCAGGCTGCAAACATGTTTGTTTCTGCTTGGTTGGACATCGTGAGACCGTTTTTCAATCTTCTTTTGTGTGTGTGTGTGTGTGTGTGTGTGTGTGTGCGCAAAATGTTGAACTCCTTACTTTAACATTTGTGTCACAGACTGTGATATATTAAGAAAGGTTGGCTGCAACGTGTTTCTTCTTTTTTATAACATGATGACACGTTGTTACCACTTCTCTGGTGTAACTCAGTTTTGTTGCTTAATAGTGATTTTTTTTTTCTTTTTTTCATTCACATTCACAGAATTCATTTTGTCACTTATGCCAGGGAAGACGCAGGCAGAGGTTCTGTTTTGTACATTTCTACATTTTTTGTAGTATCTTTAAAATTGTTTGCACAGACAGGATTTCCTTCCAGTATCAGCATTACTCATATTTATTTTGTATTAAACTGCATGTGTTGTTATTGTCAGAGCTTTTGC